CCTTGGCTGGTGAAGATGAACTAGATATACATGTACATAAATACAATTGCAGAACTAGTTTGAAGCAAGGCTGTTCAAGGCTTGAAATGTTAGAAAATGATTTTGTATTCAATTCTATAATGATTGAGAATCCTGCAACACAGTTTTTTTATACAAACTAGGAATGCTTTGATTTTCTAGCATAGGTGTTAGGTAATTCTTATGTTTCGGGTTCATTGAAGTGAATTGGTGCTAATTTCTGGAAGTCCAAATAAAAGTGTACATGTATTTCTAGAGACTGCATAAATTAAAGTGTGACACAATGAATGAAGGTGATAGTGACTGGATTTGTATTGTTTTCTTAATGTGGATATCAAGTGTGTAAATAAATACTAACTACTTAAATAAAAAGGGATTATAATCATTCAATTCAGCCAGGGATTCTATCCAAAATGTGGCATTCCTGTCAAAGATTAGTATTAGAGTCTAATACTTGCCAATAGATCATAGTATTAACTGACATACATGTAGTGAAATAATCCACTCAACATTAGGTATGCTTTGGAAAAACACTTTGGGTAACCATAGAAAGCCTTTCATTCAATTCACATGCAGAATATTACTGTGATTTTTCGTTATACATGTACTATAAAATGTTCATGCATAATCAGAGATACAAAACAGTAGCATAACTGTGTCAAATGTTTCACATTCCAAATCAGTAGAAACCAGACAAAAGCAGAAGGACAAATAACTTGGATCTAGTAAATTGTGAACTGAAACATTGCTATTACAAAAAATTAATAAATTCCAACAAACTGATTTGCACACCACCCACAGGGTTTTACAATAAGTTGAACAGTTAATATAAAATACATACATGTAGCGTCTGGTTGTCGGTACAGACTATCGATTTCAAAACTACATGTGCTGTAGCTCACAGTATAATGCCATTCTTGTATTTTATAAAAATATTGATTTAACACTAGTTGCCATATTGTACAATTAAATTACTGTAGAATACTTTATTTTCACTTGGAATTTATTTTCCCTATTTTTGCTGAAAGGATGATTACGTGAAAATAAAATCCAGCGAATATACTTTTTTTCCTATATTTCACATTAAACTCATCAAAAATCAGTGAAAATAAATTCCATACAAAATGTCCAAAAAGCCTTTTCAGCGAAAATTAATTCCAGCGAAAATAAAGTATTCCACAGTATTTAAAAAAAATTCAAATTGTAAGAATGATAAGTTTCTGATCAATTTACTTCTCTGATATTGATAATTTTATTTTTAAAATTGCACTAAAATTGAATTTTCTTTAATTTTTTTTCATTAAGGCAGTTTGAGATGAATTTTGCACCACTGAGAATATTTCTTAACATATCTGCAATCATTTATGGGAAAAAGATTTTGCACTTTCTGAACAATGCATTATGGGTAATGTATGGTGGTAGATTTCCATTGAATATAGTGTCAAACTATTATCACTGGAAACTCAGAAGACTTGAAAATAACTGAAAGTAATTTTAAAGATGTAATAAAGATGTTTTTTTATGACAGAGACAACAGACCTTTGCCCTCAATTGTTTCATGGGAGTAATTTTTTATACATATTATATGGAATGGAAATGAAATGGATAGGATGGAACAGAACGGGAAGAGAAGGGAAGGGAAGGGAAGGGAAGGGAAGGGAAGGGAAGGAAGGAAGGAGAAATAGTGGGTGAAT